TGACTCTCGCAGTAAGATGACGAGACCAAACTCGAAGCTAGCCACTAGTTCTATTTACTCGACAATTTGTACTTTACCCGGGAGGTGGGGGGGCAAGAAATAGGGGATGAGGATTGGAAAGAGAAGGGGGCACGACGGGAAAACAGAACGGAGGCCATGCTAGTATAATTCATGATCTGGTAAATGCCTCTCAAGTTACTTGGAAATGTTGCTCGAACATCTCAACTTGATCGTCTCTACGACGTGCTAAACAAGCTTGTATCTAGAAACAAGTACACACAGACTAGGTACTAGGTACAGTAGGTAGGCGAGTAAGTTAATAAACGAGCACTGGCCACTGTGTTAGGAAAAGACCATGCAGCGGAGGAGTCATTTTAGCACTGTTCTTACTCTTGCTCTTGCCTCTCGGACATATGGCATTTGTCGTGTTGGAGGTCCAAGCTTACATCCACACATATCTGCCTCTCTCTCCATCCTCTCTCTCTTCTCTTCTTGAATCCCTGCAGCAGTCGAACGTTACACTAAAAAAATATATGGATATCTGCTCCCCCCAATTGTTTACTATATTGTGGTGTTCACCCTTATAGCCCGACTGCGTAATCCGCTCGTAAGCCAATCTGCAATACTGAGGTGGCTTGTCGACCATATTCGACAGGCAAGAGACGCCGATGAGCCGACAGCCTAAAACAACTAGGGAGAACAATACTAAGTAGGTGGAGGCGACCAGAGTTTGTTTGTCGGCTGGGTGATCAGCCAACTGAACAAGGAATCACAAGTGGGTAAAGTATAGAGACTAAACTACTAGCAACAGTAACTTAGAAGGTAGCTACTCCATTGAGCACAGTTCAATAAATTCGATCGCAACCTCGAGATACTACTTACTGATACTTTTCTTAAGGCCGGCCTCGGCTCTTGTCGACTTACAGTGGCAGGTGCGCTAATTCTTCTTCTGTAAAGAAATTCTTCACTGCATACCCATCGATGACCTTGGAACAACCATTGGATACGACCTGCAGCTTTCCTGGTCCAGAAGACAGGAGAGAGAATGCATCGCTACATCATCTCTATAGTCATGCAGTTTGCAAACGGGAGTACAATGACTATGAACAAAGTGAATTAAAAGTCCGCTCACTATGTATATCGGCGGAGAGCAGGAGACCAGAGACCTGATTCAATTCCCCACCATGGGTCAAGGAGGTACGAAAGACACTAACGGCTGACAATGGATTTCTATTCCTATCGAGATGCAGCATGGTGCATTCGATCTAAAGGCATCATTAACTATAGCGTTGATTAGTAGGTACGCAAGTTGGGTGTCTAATTATCGAAATCCAAGTGATTGGTTAGCTACGATCGGGGATTTTACTTAAACGAAATGAGGGATGAGGGATGAGGGATGAAATATGAAGACAGGGATAATAGTCCAAGTGAGCAAGGAGGAAAATGGGAAGACAAAGGCACAGAGAAGGAAAAGAAAAAGAAAAAGAAAAAGAAAAAACAAGAAAAAAAAAACAAAAAAGAGAGTGGGGGAAGAAAGAGAAGTTGTGGGAAAAAAAAAGGGAAAAAAAACAAAAAAAGTTATACCAGCTCGTTCACGTGCTACTCAGACCCTATTCTTATTTAATTAGACATACAGGCCGCATGACACTGCCGGTATTACAGTTACCATCCCGGAGGCGGCATCGGGAGTCCGCTGGTCTTCGGGATTGATTTTCTCAAGCATCATCACTGCCTTAAGCAGTCAATGCTATATATTATCTCTTTGCTCGAGCTTCCCAATGTGCGCACAATACAAGGAACACTTTCTAGACTGCCAGATCTAGTATTACTACCTTGCTTTCTGTCTAAATCACTCTAGAGTGGCGACCGATCGATGTACTGTGTCGCTTTTCTGTACTCTATGATATCCGAAAAGTATAGGACATGTTAAATTCACCACTGCATGGTTGTTCGAATTGAACCAGAATGGAAAGGATTAAATCATGCCTGGAATGTATGCGATTCGACAGTAAACAATAACACCTCTGAAAGGCAAAGGTCAATACTTAAATCAATACAAAATTTACAAAATAAAATTTATGGAAGGCATTGGTTCTACTTCTAGTGCAGCAATCCAATGGGCCTTGAGATCACTAAGACTTTGGAGTGCTTGCTGTCTACGAAGATTTCTGGGAAATTTCCTACTGTGCCCTCTGATCTTGAAGCCAAAGATAATGACCAGACAAATATAATGTGCATTCACTCGAGTATAGGTTGGAATATAGTTTTTGAGCGACAGCTTCTGGGCACCGTGGAATAAAGGCCCACAGCAAGCGACATGTATGATTTCCCTTCAAAGCTCGTTCAACGAGGAGTATATTTCTGACATCTAGCAGTGACGCCTGTGACTATTGCAGATGGTCTGACCGAGACAGCCGGTAATCGAGAACTAGGAGGGAGCACATACAAGCCCGAGGCCCATTCGTGATCGTATCGCATCAACGATGTAGCTTACTTGACCGGCGACTGAGTCGGGAGGGTATAGCATCTGGTGCAGTGTTGTCCCGGTCAGTGTGGCCTGGAACATTGGCCCGGAGAGAAAACGAGCCTACAGCTACAATGTCTGTAGAATGATTGAAGTTGTGGTAAACTACTTACATAGATCTGCCTTACTGACTGACTGATTGAACTACAGCTGACATAACCATGCAAAACCTCAAAGCTGTAACTGTGCAAGCCAATTGGTGATCTTAGTGGCGATCTCTCGAAACCGTCTGACGAGCCCACCGGCCGCGTTCATATGCCCTATGATAGCCCTCACAGAAGCAGGTCGTGGAGCTTGAGTGGAGAAGTGAGCAACATTAGCATATGTTGATAATACCTCACGTCGTAGTACTCATAGCATTAGTACAAGATCGTGATATGTCGTTGATGCTCATGCTACACTCACCACATTCAACAAATTACGGCTGGGCGCGACTTCCAGTCCTCGGTGGAACATAAGAAAAATTGCTACAGTAAAGCCTTGATTCTAGAAGGGAGCTTGCCTGCATCACAAGATTGATACTCATGGGCGGCACATTTATCCACAATGATCACTGGCTTCATGGATTCGCATCCAGAGGTTTGACAGATGGCTCGTGCGTGCATCTAGTGGCAAAACTTAGTAGCCCTTGTCCTCCAGTGAAATTACAATTACGTATACTCCGCAGATGTAATGGTATTCTTGCCCCAGATAGGTAGTTTCAATAGCGGCACAGAAATGGAAATAATAAAAAATAAAAACCCTACCTAGGAGGTAGGTAGTAGCACACTAGTAAGGCATTCGCCTTGGCTGGGAGCAATTCTAGAACTGCTAGGGACATTGAATTGATGTCGCCCCTCGCCAGATAGATCAGTTTTCTACTACTATCAAGCGGGACTTGCAAAAAACTTGGGGTCTTAACCCACTTGTTACACCCTTGGCTTGTCAATTCTCGGAAGCCTTCTATGGTGTAGATTACACATAGGAACTACTTCTCTTGTTGCTGGGAGTCTTGGCCTCGATACTCTTATGGAGTTCCGCTGGAGGTCAACACAACTAATTGAGTTGTTACCAAGTAAGACGGCGTTTGATTCATCTCTCAATAGTATAATCAGGACCGCTGTTCACCCTTTAGCTCCAAATTATAGAGCGACTAGTATTGTGCTGTACAGACACACACGGAAGCATAGAGATGCTTCACGGATCCACCCATTTTCCTTGCTCTCATTGAACCGCTTCTGCTTCTGCTTATCATACATATAACAATGAACGTGCGGCCCGAGCTCCACCTCTTGTCTAAGGATAGACTCGCATTATCCCAACAATTTTGTCTTGGCACACAACAACTCTGTGGGCTTTCCGTGATCGTGCAATCGTACATATATATCTGTTATCTAGGGGCGCCTTCTTTCCGCAGACTACTCCCGGAATGGCAGTTGCATGGACAATGGATCCTACCTTTCCTTGCAAGTGTGCTAGGTGAATTGTAGCCCGCCAGCCTTACTAGTGGCTGCAGATGGAAGTGGATGCTCCTGCAAGTCACCTTAAACGGTTATGTGCTTCAGAACTCGGCGGGGCTGTTGCAGTCTTGCAGATAGTGTCACATACTCAACAAAAAAGCTTCCAATCTAACCTGGTATTCTACTAAGGATAAGTAAAAAAGCACAGTGTTCCATGATTGAGCAGTTGGATCCAGTTGCGAAAAAAATGGTTGTATTTGCCGTGATGGGAGATTTACGGACTCCGAGGACTGCCCGACTGACGGGTATATCTAGAAGTGAATGTTCTCACAAAATGACAGCCCAATAAATTCTTGTATATTACTGTGTATGAACTTCGTACATAACTCGGCAGTAAGTACGGTTCGGAGGATTACACGAACCTCCGGAAGTTGTAGCCAGACGACGTCCGTGCGGGTCAAGTCTGCCGATTTGCTGCTCGATCCTTTTCGAGTGCTGTGCATGTACAGGTGTGTACTCCGTACTTAGCCCGCTTGTTTTGTTCCTCTTGGCTCTTGGTAGTCGGAAAATCCGTTCATTCAACTAAGATTAAGAGCTTAGTGATCTAATAAGTAATTGCGAATTTCAATTAATGGATCCTGTTTTGATTCATCCTTGGTCAGCTACCAAAACTTTCACAGCAGGGGCGTAGAGCTGATCTGCCTAACATGACTTTCCCAACGGTGTGGCTTGGACGTGTAGGCGAGTAAAACAGACGCGTACAGGACATATCTCGGCTGCTGCACGGACATATTCAGTATTACTAGACTCCATCTCTCTCCACCTTTACCCGGGAATGACCGAGGAAGTATCCATTCCGGCGCCAATTCGCTACTCATATGTTGTGAGCTTGTGCCGGGCACCTCAAGTACGGACAGAAAGAAGTCGCAGATCGGGTCACATTAGTCAGCTGTCATTATTGTTACAGAGCACGCAGTACTACATGGTATATTTTAAAAGGTGGTGTTCAGTGCTCGTACTAGTAGCCAAGTAAGAAGGTTGAATTGTCATCTAATCACACATCCCTCGATATTGTCCAATTGATTCGAGACCGGGTTCATGATTCAGTATGTGGGTTGGCTACTTATAAGCTAGGTTTTCCACAACATAACACATGATATGCCGTGCTCAGAACGTTAAGCACTCAATCCACCAGATATAAAATAGCTCAATATGTATTGTACTGTGTTAGGTGTGCGCAGACATCTTGACCGTCAAACAAAATAGTTTACATGACAATCCACCGGCGGATGCTTGTTACAGGAGTGAGATGCATGCTTAGCCCATTATCAACGGACGCTTGTTCGCCTACCAAGGCTATGTTTGATGTTCACTGAAGTGCTCAGTGCTCACTGCGACCTGCCTCAGAGGCCCAAACTTATGTGCATGAAGTGCCGCTTACACTGGCATTATCTTCTACCCGCATACCAAGGTCGCGCTTATCAGGAAACTGTAACAGATTCCATTCCCCATCGATCAACAAGGGAGATGACATGCAGCCTATGCGGTCGATCAGCACGCCAGCCATGTTTATAGACACCACTCAATTCAGCTATCCGGAACTGTACTTATCTAGTCTAGACTAGACAGAGGTGAAGATACGCGCAAATTGATATCACGCAACTTTGCTCGAGTATGAGAAAGGGGCCTATGATTCACTCGGCTGTGGCTTTGTGAAACCAACCGCGGGGAATAGCTTTCCAAGTCAGGCCCTCGTCTTACAAAACGCTGCATTTGGTAAACCTACAGTCTTCAAGCTGACTCCGTTTGAGTGATATTTCTCTTGTGGTGAAGGCGGACTGTGCACATTTTAGCGCAGGCTAACTAGTACTTACTGGTGGGATCCTCTTCTAGGTAAGTTACAGTACGGAGTACATACCCATACAAGAATACTCGTATGTAGGAGTAAATTGGGGCTGTGGGGCAATTCTTCGCTGCGACCGAACCCGCTTCCACAATAAGCGTTCGATGGTTGGTAGAACACTGCAAAGCCTGCAGCCCGCGGGTTACGAATTCGGCAGCGATGAGCGAGAGGAAATTGACTACTCCTCCGTAGTCGTAGACTAGGTTGGCACTATTCATGTATCTAGGCGCCGTGGACCAGCTATTTAGGAAGCTTGCTGCGTCTAGACAGATACATAGCGCTCCTGGTCTCATGTTCCGAGTTTCGACCAAGCTTGAGTGAAGAGCGATTGATAATGAGATAGCATAGCTACCAAGCAGAAGACGTACAAGGAACGGTCCCGATGGATGCAGATGAAGCTGACTACATAGAGAGTGGCAGGCAGACACGGCTAACTTAGACTACTCGTACATACAGCATCGTAACGTAGACTCCCAATGCCGGCAAGCCAGACCACTATGAGCACGGGCATTCATACTCTGTTGCTCTTTTCTATAGGGCTTTTGGACTTCCGTTGATGAAATTTCCACTCCAAATGTGAACTGCCAGCCTGATCCTCCAAGGGCTTAATGCTGTGTCCTGCCCTATCCTCAAAGAGGTGAGCATAGAGTACTAGGATTGGAGACAGGCGATTTGTGGCACTGTATGTACAGCTACGGATATCATAGGCTGGGATTGAGCAAGGCGTTGGGCAACCCGCTTCAGTCTGCTCTCTCTAGCTAAGTACTGTACTATATGCAGTATCTGCTGTGGGGGCGGGTGTGCTGGGTCACTGAAGCTTGGCCAGGCTATTTGTGGTTTCTCAGTTCCCACACAAAGACGCGTTCTAAGTTCAACCTCGCAGCAGTGCAACAGGATACCCCTGTTGTCATTCCTGTCAATACTCGCTGCTTTTGCTATCTGTCGCATGTGGACTCCACTACGAAGAACGGAGGACCTACTCCACGGACTGGGCACTCATATCATGACTTTGTCTCTCTAGCGTCCCTTTCCTGTTAACCTCCATTTTGCCAAAGCTGCGAAAACTCCTTGGGGCAGAATTACCGGATGGTGTTCTCACCGAAGCACCAAGCTACCTCTTACAGTACTGTACAACAACCGAATCAGAGTAGCAGTCCGCAGCGATCCTGTCAACCTCTTTCGGCCACAAATCACAATCGATTGACATATGCTTTGGGACTGAAGAGTCGTGCGTGTGCAAACTTACAAGTGGACTTCAACACTGAACAGCAAGCTGGATGGCTAGTTTCATACCGTATTGTACGCACTGTACTGTACATACATTCCCATGGAGATACCGGCTTCTTCCAGTCTCATCTCTCCATCATACTCGTACTTATCTTCCAAGGCGGAGATATGACTATCTGATAGTTACTTTTAATACTATGCTACAGAGCCCAATTCCACTTATATCCAAGCAGCGCCATAAGGATCTTCCGAAAAATTCTTCCATCTCGAGAATGGGTGCTCATCTGTTCCCATTGGCGATGGTTATACAGAAGTATAGGAGATGCATGATCCGTGTGTATAATTCTGAATTGTGACGTCAGTTCTCGCATATCGGCTTGAGAACATGTCACCTCCATCCCCCCGGTAAATGGTTCCCGTCGTCCGTTGACAGCATCGGCGGAATGCGGTTGAACTCCCCCCCGTACACTAATGTAGTGAGTATGTGCTTCAGTAGAGAAATCCCCAGCCAATCCTGCAGGTCTCTTTCTAGAAGATCTCATCGTTTAGCGTTGTAGGTGTCGAGTACCAGTTGCCTATTCTGTTCATCTTTGCCCCCACCTCCGCTGTCAGGTTATTCTGCCGGCTTGGCTTTTCACAGCTTGCTAATCTTCATACTGGTTCATCAATGGCAGGTCCAATTCTGCCTGCATGTGCACACATTCAGAAGTGTGCAGCAATGCGGCAGATGCATCTGTTCCTGCCTATACTGCAGGATTTTTCGAATCTTTCCCACACGAGCATAAGAGTTTATTACCAAGGTGTACCCCAAAGCTTTACTCCGACTCCGAGGTCCAGTTGAGCCAGAGTCGTGGTGCAAACAGACAGATTGCAATGTACATACGTCAGTATCGAGGCTAACTGAGGCTAACTAAAGTATGTGCAAATCAAACAACACATGATGGAGTCCATAACCAAGCTGTGGGATTAAATTCCACAACAAACTCCACCACTCCAAAAAGCCCTATAGCCCCATACAGGTCAAAATCTCCTTCTAACCCCTGTATTCCGCCGGAGTCCTCATCTCTTTCCTCGGCAAGATCCCAAGCCCCCACCTGTTGTCCATCACGGGTAAAGCAAACGGTTACATCAACTCTGGTTTTATCGCATGACTGTCGAAACACCATTCCTAGGCCAACTGTTTCTCCTTCGCGGAATTTACTTGTAAAAGGCTTCCCGCCCCAGGAGTCATTCACGAAGCGACAGCCATCATCAGAGAAGACGCCGAGACTCCCTCGCTCCCAGCCGGGAGACCTCCATGATGGGTATGGCTTTGCCACATATCCAATGGCGAACCCGCTAGATTCGGCAAACCTGCTGCTGGACCTTTCGCCCAGGCCTAGTAATTTGACTTCGAAGTAGATTAACTTGGCCATATTTGTGCGAAGAGGGGAGTCGATCAAAGAGAAGTAAAGAGGTAAGTTGGTTGTCAGTATAGAGTCACTGTTTCCGTGGCCCGTGGAGCCCGTCCAACGACCCTGACGAGCAACCTGCACATTGCCATGAAACTCCAACGGCCGTACTGGGGTAAAATCATAATGCTCCACAGATCTGTAAGCGGCAACAGATGGCTCCGCTGGGGGGCGTAGTGGGTGTGCATCACAAAACTCGTGCGCACGCAAAGCGTCATGGGAGGAGGCATTGCCAGTAGACGAGTAAAGGAAGCCCGCTGCTGGTGGAGGAGGCAAGCTATCTTCTTCAGAAGACTCTTGCCAGTTGTGATATGGAGGAGGCAGAGGCTGTGAGAATGTGCTCGCCGACGAAGAAGCGACAACATATGCGTAATCGGGTGGGGACTCCTGGCATATGTTCTTGGGTTGTTGATCCATTTGATTACTAGAATCGAACTTCCACTTATAAGTGACGTTTTATACTTCGTGCGTCGCCCCCCCCCCGTCACCTTGCTGTCCGTTTTCTTCTTGAAAATGTGTCACGAAATGATCGGAAGGTTGAGCCAATATTCAACCATCCACATATCTTAGTTGCCACAGCGCTATGGTTAGGTGTTCATACCACAGTCGTAGAGTAGTACTCAGTAGATGGAGGTTTGGGCTTGCTCCGTGGGTGGTAGATAGATTTGTGGGGGCTCTTTACTACATACTGTATTTGAATGATTCTTCAAGCCCCACCGTAGGGGTCAGCTGAGGGATCGAGCGTAAGTCGCATGCATCCATACAGTACAGTACAGTACAGTACAGTACAGTACATTGTCTTGAACAAGCTCAGAATGCGGATAGATTTGTTGTTAATCACCCCGAATGTCGATCTACACACATATTTTGAAGACCAATTCCAACATCGTCTGGCTTTGCCGCTTATATCTCATGCATATGATGGAATAGAAAAGACTTGCTCCTTGATTGCCGTCTCCTCTTACGCGCTCATCTCACCCGGTTGCACTATCCGGTCCCTTGCATAAATCTTTGAAAAATACTACTTATACTATATATGTACCGTACTATCTGACTACTAGGTCAGAGCGTGCATGCATCAATGCCCAATGAGCCCGGCAGAGTCTTCCTGCTTTGCGAAATCTAGGCCTGAGAACCTCGCCCCCTGATTATCATGCCATTCTGATGCTCCTGAGAATTTGGCGGGGCCAAGTATACAGAGGAGTTGGAAGAAGCAAATGAAACAAAACAGTTAAAAGGGCTCATTCATGGATGAAGCATCGATTCGGACATCGACCGGCGTGACATTAGACCCTTGCAGCTGACCCGCCTTCTTCTTACCAATGTTTGTGGGATCCGAGCTCCGCATGCTGCTGGCCTGCAGCTGGTGAGGCGGCTGAAACCGCTGTTGCAGTTTGTTCAGCCCCCGACCTCCCTGCTATGTACTTTATGGTGTACTAATCGCCCTTCAGAACCCGTCTTACGCCCCTAGCAGGTCCCTCACCAGTACGAGGACTTCTATTTGGCCCAGCCCGTCAACTAGGCGCGATCGGTATGTTCATGACTAGGCTCGGTTCAGGTTGCCTCTCCGCCAGTGAACGCCTTGTGCTATGATCCCCCCAGCCAGTCACCCTTGGCTGCTACACCTATGTCGCAAAGATGAAGCAGGATCAGAATAGCCACTTGAGCAGAAGGCCACGCAGACCGTCAATCACTCAGCAAATTCAGCGGGCACTCGGCTTTGACAAGCAAACACATGTGAGTATCGTGGCCTCCTACATATAGCTCATGTCTATCATACCGACAAAGTACTTTGGGATGCTGATTTCCTCGAAAGCGGCTCCAGGACAAGCAAGGCCAAAGTCCGAAGGCTACTTCCCAGGCAACAAGGCCCGGGCTAGAAAAAGCAGCCACCCAGCGACCAAATTCGAGTTCTCCAAGCAGCAGTGCGCATTCCCAAATAAGCACAGAGGAGGGTCAACATGGAGATCCGAGGCAGTCAATCGGAGACGTTGGGGTTAAGAGACTATCAGCATCGCTGCTCAACGGGTATCTATCGAAGAGGACGGGAGCCTCTTTGGAAGGCGATGTTGCGGTAACATCTAATAACAAGCCCCCAGCGAAAAGACAAAATGTCGCCCCCAGGAACAAAGAGACCCGGGCTACGAAGCGCTTGGAAGCAGATCGGGCAGAGCTCGAGAAACAGCTCCTCAGGATCGAACAGGCCGGAGAATCCAGAACAACCCGGCTGTTGAAAAGGGAAACCCGCCGTCTTTCCAAAAAACAACCTTTGGACAGGCGGAGCAGGGCGTCCAGTGCGAGTGCAGATGATTTCCGGTCCTCGACTAGGCTTTCTTCCATGTTCTCCATCTCAAGGCGCTCATCGCGGTCTCGACCGAGCTCAGCGCACGAAGCCGACCAAAGACTATGTCAACAGTCATATAGCACCGCAAAGTCAAGGCAGAATGCTGACTTGCATCCAGGGGATCGGACGGTATTGAAAGCACCCGAGCGATTCAGCATTGCGCTATCGAAAGAGTTCACTGCGGCAAATGCACTACTTTCATATCACAAGGACGGTCCTCCGGGGAAGCCTACCGAATCGACCGCAGACTCTTATGTGAACGAGACCAGCAAATCGCGGCTGTCACACGAGTGTCTGGTCCAGGAGACAAGTCAAGGACCGGTCGCATATAGAAATGAGAGTTATACTTCCTCATCAGCAAAACCCGAGCTAGGAGCCCCAAAAGTGTCGCAAAAGACAAGAGACTTGGACCGTACCTCTTTTTCAGCGGTCCTGAATACAGAGACAAGGATCTCTGAGGTTGTTCAAACCTCTGGGCGCCCAATGCCCATTATCAACCCCGGTGTTAAAGACACCCAAGACACTCGCGCAGATTGTTTGGTTTTTAACCCCGGTGAAGTGGAGCAGTCCGCTGCAAGGCCTCATCCTCAGCACCCCAATGACTTCACCATTTCACAACAAGAACCCTGGAAAGCTAGTTCGGCAAGGATTCCAAATTACAGACAGTTCCATGGGCAATATAGAAAATATCAGTCATCGCCGCTGGCGGTGAGCTCGGTGGGTGACCTGGCGAGCGGACCAGCTTCAACCAATCCAACCTCATTTGAACCGTCCACCCAATTCGCAGTTGAGAAATCGAAACAAGTCTACTCAAAGGTTTTGGAAAATGGAATAATTGTCAGATCAAGCCCAGTTCGACCGCTACCGATCAATCATCATGGCCTTGGCGCATCATCTGAAAGAGCAAATACTCACAGACCTGCATATAAGGATTGCGACGGCGACCGGCCAATATTCTCAAACAAACGCCCTCAGCATACCTCCAACGATAGTACGTACAGAGTTCAAGATGAAAAAATAGATTCGTCGGCGTCAATTATGGCTGAATTCAGGCATTCGCATGATGCCAGAGCAAACCTGCACTCTCAGGCTTCAGTCGGCTACAACGCTGGCGTCGGGCAGAGCCAGACCAAGGCCTTGTGCGAGCTAAAATCCTACCTCGATCATGAGCCATGTCCCACAAAGTCCAAATGGACTTCAGAGGTCCAGAATCCACAAGTCACCCACGCATATCCTGCCGATCAACCACAGCTGTATGGCAACTCTCTGTCTTCATTGGACAATTCATCTCGCGAGATGTCGGCAGATGATTACAACACGGCGGATGAGGGCATTTCCGTCGCTTCACGATCAAGAGATGAGAATGACTTTCCCGCGATGTGTTCAAGACATCCTGGAATTGAAAATCCTAGGCATGACTCTAGTGCTTGTCTTTCACCAGCACGGAAGCAATCACCAGCCGCGATATCTGGTACTTTGCTGATGCAAACTAAGAACTCCGGCGACCAGCCGAAATACTGCCCAGGTCGGCATGTTTCTAAGATATTTCTTATCTGTTGCGTTTGTGGGCAATGGCATGATAATCCTTCGCAAATGTATTCAGAGTACCTCTGCAGCAAGAATCTTCCAACTCCAACAACTTCCGAATGGTTTACAGAGGAAAGAGAAGCAGCTGTCACCGACAAGAAGAATGATCTTGCTATGTCCAGAAGCGGGCGATCGAGGCAATCTACCAGCCAACTATGTACCCGTAGCGCATCCGACAGACCAAGTTTAACAGCTCAATCGCTTCATAGCTGCTGGTGCGGACACAAGATGAACCAGGCATGCTGCGAAGGATGGAGTACTGTTGTCCATTTACGCAAGAAATGTCACTAAATCACGAACCTTATCGGCAAATTCAAATTGATGCCTTTTTTCTGCATTCTCGCGCCACGGATAGCATTGGTTTTTGTTTGCGATCAGCGAGCCTTTGTGGCGTACTCTTATAAATTGTCTTTAGCTCTCGTATCAAATTTGAATGATAGTCGGAAAACCTTGTCTGTTCCTTCAAGAACATACAATGTAGCGAACCTTGACCTAAGATCCCACAACTCATTTGCCTGTGACAAGACTTGTGTACGGAGTAGCAATGAACTGGAAGGCAGATTTGCGAATTGATGTGTGGGCTCGCATTGTGGCGGGCAATCAATAGCTGCTTCAGTGTGGAGCCTGCATGTGTCACGCAGGGGTACTGTACAGTCTACTCCGTACAATACGCAGTACTGTACGGTCTACACCAGTAACTTTGATCTCGTCACCTCTCTTCTTTCCCTTCACCTTCACAACATCCCCAAGTCTCTCCTTTGGATGGCTCTTGTTTGGCGCCATGGTGCGTCAAAGGAGCTTCTCGAATGCTTCCTCAGCTCCATCTTTCCAGGCTGAGAGGAACCAGGTATGCGATCTTCTCATTACACCCCTTAAGTTACATACACATGACCCTCCTCACCCTCAACTGGAATCGATGCAGCCGTTGTACCAGGAGCTGCTCATTTTGCATCAAGGCTGACCGGTCGCTTTGTCTTTTTCCCATTTCTTTCCCAGGAACTGGAGAGTATGTACGATTATCTGGCTAAGGTAATCCTTCTTGGGCCAAGCGGGGCTGGAAAGTAAGATCTTATGGAATTCACTGGACGCCAAAAAAGCTCAACACTCGCTCACTTGTCCGTGACAACCAAGGTCCTGTGTGTTACATCGTTTTGTGAAGAATGAATGTAGGGTTTCAACCCCTGACCTAGCCTATGTATACATTCATTCCGAGCTGGTAGCCTGGCTTGCTAACAAATTGTGTACGTGTAGGGAGAGTGCTGTCTTCGCAAACGATCGGGGTGGAATTCTCCTCCCGGATAGTCAAATTAGGCACCGGCTCCCGGCGAACAAGAATCAAATTTCAGCTATGGGATACGGCTGGAACGGAGAGGTTTCGATCTGTCTCCAGATCCTACTACCGAGGGGCTGCGGGGGCCATCCTCATTTATGATGTATCCTCTCAGGCTTCATTCACGGCCCTTCCGACATTTCTAATGGATGCGCGTACTCTTGCTTCGCCCAATCTCACAGTCCTGCTCGCGGGGAACAAAGCGGACCTTACCTCAGATGCCATGCAGCATAACGATAGCTTCGACGATAGCTCCCGGCCGCCTCCCACACCGTCTAGCACGTCCAGCAAGCATTCTTCCCTCCTCCCTGACTCTACCGGCGGGTCTGTTCGTTCTACAGTGTTTTATGAAGCAGGAACGAGGTTAACAGCGACAAACACTTTGCATGGTCGCGAAGTCAGCACTGAAAACGTGTCACACTGGGCAGCCAAATCCGGTATCCCGGTAGCCGTCGAAATTTCAGCCCTTACCGGCGAGGGGGTGGAAGAGTTGTTCAACCGGCTGGCCCGGATAATTCTCACAAAGATTGAATTAGGGGAAATCGATCCTGACGATCCACAAAGTGGAATTCAATACGGAGATGGTGGCTATGGTCCCAGCGCCAGTGATGGATCTAGTATTCGAAGTCGCACAACGCTCGATGATGGTTCTGTTCAGATGCGTCGTCGGTACAACAGAATCGAAGCTGAAAACAGCCGAAGAGGTGGTTTGAGAGAGTGGGAAGATGTGTTTAGGTTGAGCGACTCTCATCGAAGGAAAGACGGTAGATGTTGCTGACCTGCTGCCTGTTAACATCGCGGCTGCGCAGCTCGGAGCTCGAATACAGTCTTCCTCATTTGATATCCCTATAACGGAGAACGGGCCGACCACCGATCATAAACCTCGGTCACCGTCCATTTTGTGAAATCTCTGACAATAACAATTGACTAGCTTGTGTCTCTGCTTCATTCAGGAGATAGTCTGGTCTCGCTTGGAACTTCTCTTTCTCAATGCAATCAGCATGATACCCTAACTGCAACTCTGGCTGTCCTTCACGGATTCATCGACTCTGTGATTAAGTGTCCTGTACTAAGTTATCTTCCTGCCGTCCTTTGGCTTCCAGCATCTCAATCTTTAATCATTTTCTACATTACAAATAACATTCTGGTGGCCCACACCCGTTGACACTTACCTCAAAAGTCACTGAATTTGAATCATATGACGACGCTTATATCATCACTACAAGTCCAAGGACAATTAGACCTCATCCTACTGGAAGCGGGAGATTTTCAACGGACCCGGTCGAACCTTGGTATTCCTGACTTTACCCAGTTCATGTCTAGGACTCTATGCCAGCGATAAGTGTCTTAATACCCTTTCCAGCCTTGACCTCTTCGAATGCCCGTTCGGCATCTTCGAACTTGACAGTACCAGTGATCAGATCTTTGACATTCACTTTGCCCGAGGCAACAAGCGATACTGCAAGCTTATAATCACCACTACCATAACGGAAACTGCCCTTCACATTCAATTCCTTGGTGCATGCAGCCATGATCGGAAAGGTGATCTCACTCCTTCCCATGCCGCCTTGTACGTACGTTCCGCCAGCGCGGACGACGTGTATTCCAGTGTGCACAGATGGCTCTGCTCCGGATGCATCGATTGCTACATCTGCACCCGAGCCTAGGTCATTTTCCTCGATGATTCTCTTCGCATTGTCCGAGGGGCTGGCTTTGAAAGGCTCATATGTTGAAGTTGCTGCGTAGCTTGCGGCAAATTTGAGTCTCGGCTTTTGGATATCCACGGCAATAACCTTGGACGCACCGTACGCCTTCGCTACAGCGCAGCAAAGGAGTCCCACTGGCCCAGCGCCAAATACAACCACCGATTGGCCAGGTTTAACATCTGCCTGCTTGACGATGTGTACTGCGACACCAAGGGGCTCCATGAGTGCAGCCTCTTGTAGGGTAATACTGTCGGGGACCTTGTAGCAGAAGTCCTCGGGCAGAATGTAGTAACTGGCGAGAGTGCCGTCGTATGGGGGGGTAGCGGCAAATGCCATTTTCTCACACAGGTTATATTTCCCAGACTTGCACGGTTCACAGCGACGGCAAGGGACGCCGGGTTCGAGTGCCACTCGATCTCCCACCATCAACCCCGTGACCGACGAACCGACCCTGCTAACAATGCCTGATGATTCATGGCCCAGTACCATAGGGTCCTTGACGACGAATTGGCCAATGGAACCATGCTCCCAGTAGTGAACCTAGCAATTGTCCCGAAGTCAGTTTGAAGCTCGACTCATCTTCCCCAGCGCTATCGATAGAACGTACATCGCTCCCGCATATACCCGTGAACTTGACATTCACAAGGACATCGTGGGGTCCTTTCAATTCCGGGACCGGACGATCTTCAAATTTGACCCGATGAATGCCTTCCAATACGAATGAGAGGTTCTATATATGTTGGATTCCCTACATTAGCAATTGCCAGCTCCCGACCTGCTATACAGGTGTATGCTTTTCAACGAAAGTGTCTTCTTGCTTACCTGGGCAGTGGCACTCTGGGCAGACATCTTCGGTAAATTTCCACCCGATTTGATTTCAAGGAGCCAAGGGATAAGATAGTGATAATAGTTGCTTCTTGATTAGTGAGATAGAAGAAGCTGGGCTCTGAAGCAGGGGGTGAGGTGGTAAAATGGAACACGTCCAAGACACACTCTGATGCTCTCAGTGGGCTAACGGAAACAAAGTGGGGGAGATAATGTTTGCAGTGGCAGAGATTTGAGAACGAAAAGAAGAAAAAGAGCAGGAGAAACTTAAATACAGAAATGGTAGGCTTTCAACCGACAAAGGATAATCAAGATAGCTACGTATTGTGGTGGGGGGCCCGGGGGAGGGGGGGGAATTGGAAGGAGAAAGATTGTTGAACAGGTGATGAACCAATCGTCTCCATTGATCCTAATTTCTCTCCGAGCAACCTGCATGGGTCTAGCCAAGCAATAGAGGTGATAATTTGTTCCTTCTTCACAAGGCATTATGATGGAGCTATATCAACACTAGCACGAGAATTAGGGAGCTCAGGTGAGCTCCAGGTGAGACGGCAGGATAATATGGCGGGGTAAGTATGACCGCAGATGGGGGGGCAAGGGAGTCGGCATGAAGCCCGGCTGATTACCTATTGGTGGATTGTGTGCAATTTAACCGGAATTCGAGACGCCTTGACTGCGGACTCGGGACAGTTCTAGTACCTACAGGCAGGTTTTTAGCCGGTGCATTATCACATGATCAGTCGGAAATAGTGGATATGTACCGGTATTCAGTACTGTTAGATACTATACATACGGATAGTCGGTGTAACATGTACTGTACTAGATCGTACACTGGGCAGTTTAGCTGAGTTTCTCAGCTTGGATTAGTCATGGATAATGTAGCTAACTAACTAACTAGCGCACTAAGCGCAACAAGCTCAACTTCTTACATGCTTTAAGATACCGACCCGATTATTTACAAACGGTCTCCAGCAGTAGGATGCCAACGTCCTGAAGAACAGAATTGCTCTCATTATTTTCATGCTGACCCCGACTCACAAGATGATTAGGTCCTACCCCTTCCGTGCCTCGTTGGGGACAAGGTACACTCTACAGCCGAGAGCGGGCGCTCGCTACACCAAACTTGCACCAGTAGAACTTCAGCGGAGGGTGTTTTGCAAATCCACCCGTTATGCCTCGGAGGAAAAGTCTCAGTCTTTCAAACATCAGCTATATGAGAGCACACAACAGCGCCTCAAGAGGGAGCGTGCCGAGCAGGAGCGTTACTCAGAGTATCAGACCCAATCCCAGGGTGGTCGCTATGCAGCTATGATGTTCGGTATGCGAATTATTCACCTCTACAACGAGACGTTTCCTTTGGGTTCTATTGTATGACGAGTGTATCTGATGCCGCATGTTTAGCATTGACCTTCTTCTCCACCGGGGCTTACTTCTTAGGGTCCCTCAAACCCGCGAGCTTGCCTACGTCATCAACCACTCCTATATATGAAGCAGAGCCACCAAGACACAACGTCTCGCCGTCAAACCTACAGGCTGCATGGGCAGACTTTGTTGATATCTTAGGGAAAGAGAATGTCTCTACGGAACACAATGACTTGGAGGTCCACTCGGGGTCTGACTGGTCTTCATATGCGCCGAAGACTGATGAAAAACCCTTCCTGGTTCTCTATCCCTCAACCACGGCAGAAGTTTCTCGCATCATGAAGGTGTGCCATAAGCGGATAATCCCTATCACGCCGTACTCTGGGGGGACAAGCTTGGAAGGGCATTTTGCACCCACAAGAGGCGGTGTTTGCATCGACTTTCGTCGCATGGATCGTATCTTAGAGGTTCACAAGGGGGACTTGGACGTTGTGGTTCAACCTGCCGTTGGCTGGGAGGAGCTTAACGAGAAGCTGTCCGAGGATGGCTTGTTTTTCCCACCAGACCCCGGTCCTGGCGCTATGATCGGCGGCATGGTGGGTACAGGCTGTTCCGGAACGAATGCCTATAGGTATGGAACCATGCGCGAGTGGGTGCTTTCCCTAACGGTCGTCCTTGCCGATGGGACAGTCATCAAGACAAGGCAACGTCCGCGGAAGTCGAGTGCTGGGTATGATCTCACTAGGCTATTCATTGGCAGCGAAGGTACACTTGGGCTAGTGACAGAAGCAACGCTAAAATTGACTGTTAAGCCCAAAAGTCAAAATGTTGCCGTTGCAAGCTTCCAGACGATACAGGATGCGGCGGAATGTGTCACACGTGTAGTAGAGGAAGGCATTCCCGTTGCCGGACTGGAGATCCTGGATGACGTCCAGATGAAGTGTATCAATGCCAGTCAGACGACCAGCCGACAATGGAAGGAGACACCTACACTCTTTTTCAAATTCACAGGGACTCCCTTGGGCGTCAAAGAACAGATAAACCTTGTGCAGAAGATTGTTTCTTCCTCGGCAGGGAAGTCCTTTGAGTTTGCACGCGGTGATGCGGAAATGCAGGAACTGTGGAGTGCCCGCAAACAGGCTTTGTGGAGTGTAATGGCTATGCGAAGAGGCCCTGAAGACCATGTTTGGACAACGGATGTGGCAGTACCTATGAGCAAACTGCCCCAGATAATTGAAACCACAAAACAAGATATGACTGAAAGTGGTCTTTTGGCAGGTATCTGTGGCCACGTCGGAGATGGTAATTTCCATGGTAAGTCACTTCTGCCTGGGTATACTAGAGGCCTGTTTTTGACACTTGCAGCCATCATACTCTTTAATGAGAGCGAGAAAAGGGCTGCAGAGGCTGTGGTTCACCGGATGGTGAAGCGAGCCATTCAGCTGGAAGGCACAGTGACGGGAGAACATGGCGTCGGTCTGGTCAAACGAGATTATTTGGAGCATGAATTGGGCGAACGCACCGTGGACGCCATGCGTCGGGTATGTGGTCCTTGTGGAATGTGTGACGATGTTTCATTGACTAAGAACTTCTAGCTCAAACTTGCTTTCGACCCTCTCTGCCTCCTCAACCCCGACAAAGTTGTCCGTGTGGAGCCGCCAACGGCTGGTGAGATCAAAAAATGGTGATGGCAAGAAATCTTTCCACGAAGACGTGAGAATGATTCCGATATTACATACAGTTATATGTGGAGAACCAAGATTGGGCTATGGGCTGAACTTGGACGGTATCGCCTCCAACCGAAACCTCCTAAACTCCCGCGGCAACCCGAACATGCGGCTGCACTCATGCTTCTTCTCGCTTCGATGAGTTTTCGATCACGTCT